TATTTTATTATTATTATTTTTATAAAATTAATAATTTTAATAATAAAAAATAAAAATATTTTAAAAAGTATACTTATTTGTTTTTAAACATGTTCTTATTAATCATTTAATGTTAAACAACAACCGCTAACTATTGTATAACCAAACAGTTATATTTATTGAATCCGTTATTTACCATTCGCTACCCATTTTCTGTTATCTGCCATCTATTATTTGCTAATCGCCACCCGCTATCCGCTACTTGCTATTCACTATCCGCTGAATTTTAACTGCGGTACCAAACAGGCCCTAAATAAAAAAGTTAGATTTCTCTTAAATAAAATCTAGAGTTTAAGTTTTATAAATGAAAAAATAAATACCAAAGAGTTTTCCTTTTATGATGTTCAATACGATTCAATTTTAAATTAATTAAGATTTAATGTGATTTTTGAATATTGAGATGTTAATACAAAAAAATTAAAAAATTTTAAATTTAAATTACATGATATATAAATAAGATATATTATGGGATAAAAGAGTATTACTTTTTATTGTATAACTTAAAATAAAAAAATATATAATATCATATATATTTATTCATTTTATATAATATCACCATTATAACCTTATAATCATACAAAGTATTATAATTATATCTTTTTTAATTATTATTTCTCTAATTATAAGCGCATAAATAGCACTTCGGGGGTTGTTTGGCTGGGAAGTGATTTTTCCCTCTAAATTTTTTTTCTTATGAGATTATTTACATGTGTTTATACATTAACGTCATAATAAATACATATAAAAGTGACATTTTAAGTTTTTATTTTTTTAATATATTTCATTACACTTTTTTTAAAAAGAAAAAGTTTCTTCTCAACTTTTTGTTTGTAGAACCAACTTAACAATTTTTTTAATTAATTTTTTGATATTAATTTTTTACCAAATAAAAAAAAGTTAACAACATAATAAAATTTTATTATAAAATTTATTAACTTTTCATTGAGTACTTTCTTAATTATTCTCTTCTTTCATTTTTAGTTGACCTAATTTAAACTTTTAAGATATAAATTATAAATAAAAATTTAATAATTTATATGAATAACAATTGAAATTTTTTTTTC